TGTTGTGATAACCAATTAACATTGAGACAAACATGTACCATTAAGAGAAATAGGTGTACCATGAAAAAACTATAATGAACTAAAAAAGGTGTAAAACAGTGAACTTACAACAAGCCGTAAACAATCTTGTGCTCATACTTGTCTGTCCTTGGCTAGTACAGACAAACAGCATGGTTTAGGGGTGTCTAAAATTCACATGCAACTACACATCAACATCCATCTGCTTGGTATCAGTTCTCAAACAAAAAAGAAATAATAGGCAGATATAAAATGCAAATCAGAGCAGAAAGTAGTGTGTGAAGTTATGTGCCGAATGTAACTGTATTTGGGTGAGTTAACATAGTCCTCCATTAACCTGAAATAGTCATTCCAAAGTTGATATTCAACGCTGGCATAAATAATGTTATTTTTAATAATGTAATAATAAACAACCAAATATCAAACCAAAAGTATAAATCCATAGATTACAATGATTCTAAATGGATTTCATTAAATTTCAAAGGTTGAAACTAGAAACCATTTTTAAAAATTAATAAAGGTAGTGAACTTCATCAGTATGGACAATAGACAGTTGTTTAAATAAAAGGCAAAATCTCAATCAAATTATTGGGTAGATGATGTGGGCACAAGAATTTCCATATCAGGAAACCATGTTTTTAAATGAAATATTAATAACTTGGTACTAAATATGTGATGACTCTTATGTACATTTGTTTAAAAGAAGAGTCCTACAAATGAAATATACTTCCAATATGTAATGATCATACTTCAACTTTGAGTTATTTATATTCCAGAGTAGAAGAATAGAAAGATTTTATGTCACTAAGAAATTATGCAATGCCAAACATCTAACATTTTGCATAATACAGACTACAAATCACACACTTAAAAATTAAAAAGAAACAACAGAAAATTAAACAAATAAATCAACTGTGACTATAGTAGTATGAAAAAAAAGTTATAAATATCATCAACATCAGAGGAATGATCATCTGAAAAGAGAAAGATTAATACTGTCTTGCCTTAAAATATCAATACTAAACACATAGCTAGGAATGTATTGGTTTAGTGTTCTTGGATACATTTACTTAACATTGATGTTGGGACTATGTAACACAACTTCCCAAGGAGACATTCAACCATCTTGCTATTAGAAATGTTTGATTTAAACTTTCTTTTCCTTTCAATTTATTTCCTAAAATCCATCAAAATAGTATCTGCTCTTTAAAAATATTTGAAAAACATGTAGATATTTTATATATGAAATAAAAAAATTAAGGTAATAATTCATGAGTAATAATGTATAATCAGAAATCAATTTCAAAAATACTTTTCTTTTTGATTGGAAAAAATATTAATAATAAAAAAAATTAAACAGTTGCTGTGTTATATCTTATCTTCTAGTTTCTTAAAACACAAGAAGAAAACAATATCCTATCTTCATAACTTAGTCAGCAGTTCATATTGAATTCATTTCTGATTCCTGTAACAAGAGTTATATATACTGCTTACTCTCAATTTCCAGACTACAATGATATTTGGAACTAAACAAAAAGCTGTATTCTCTCCAAAGCTAAGTCTTGATATGGTTCAAGAATGCTAGCTTGATCTCTTCAAAATTTTTAATTTGTGGCACTGATAATTTTTTTCTAAATAAGAAATAATGTTTAGTTCAGTAATGATACACATCTGTGATTCACAAATTTTCAATTTCAGTATTTCCTTTTTCCTTGCTGGGAACTCTGACAGTTCAGAGACACCCCCAAAGAGTATGATCTTACTCTGATGAGTGACAGTCCAATGTCTCCTCAGAACTCTGTTCAAAACTACCAACCTCTCTTATCCCTCTCACCCCCACCATGTCTCTCCCTTACTTTGGCGCGAAAGCCAATGCAATGCAAACGACCAACTGAACAGTATAAATCACCCAATGACCCTAGGTCCTCTCAGGTCTACCAACCATCCTCTAAGCCCACTAGCTGCCCCTAAAGCACTGATCACTGCGAATACAAACCAACATTTTGTACAAAAAAGCTATATTCAACAAATCTCTTAGTACCTGCTGCACAAGCGTGGTTGGTATACCTGCTGTAAGACCCAGAGTCATTCTTTCTAAGCTATATATGCTACACTGCAAAGCTGAATACTACGGAATATTTATATTATTAGTTATTCAAAAACAGTTAAAAAATTAAAATATTCTATATATGGAGGGAGCATTTTGTTATGTATTTATATCATTATAAGTATCATTATTATTATTATTCACTTATGCCTAGCTTACATGTTGTTTTTGAACGGAAACATTCAATTAACATAGGGCCACCCATACATTTTGAGTCTACTTTTGTGAACATACAGTTAAGATACAAAACAAGCAGAGATAAAATAGTAGTTTGTTATTTTTTTTTTTATTATCTTAAGGGTGGAACGTTTTTCCATCAGTTACCGAGTGTCTTGTTCCCTTCCTCCCCTATTCACTGATATGATCTAGTCAAACCTATACCCACCAGTCTGATAATGGGCAACTGACCATCTTGACCAAGAGGTAGTTGAAGATTCAGGACAGTCATACTGTTCTTGACAGTGTACGCTCTATGTGAATTAATACTGGATGCTTTGTGTTCAGTATCACAGAGATTCCTACATTTCTTTAACCGCTCTTGGTTACTTGGTTTCTATGATAATTCATTAAACAGTCTTTTTGCAAAGCTAACAAATTGTGAGTAAGGTTGCAAGTTCTTGAATTGTGAAATCAATGCACATATTTTCTTTAAAATCAAATAATAAGTTTGAAAATTAAATTTTAAAAGTTAATTATAAACATTTATTATCAAATTATCAAGCATGTGCTACCAAATAAAAGCTCATCCACAACAAAAGCGATCTCCTAACGCGATCTAGAAACCTCTGAGTACCACAAACACCAACACACGTGATGTCTCTTGGCAAGTGTTATGAGCATCAGTGCACTTCACACAAGAAGCGATATAAGAGTGAGGGTGGAACACGAAACACAGCCCTGCCTCTATACCTCTTCAAGAGGGGAGAAAACAAAAAGTCACTGTTAGCTTAAGAGAAATTGTCCTTGATCAGTTGGATTGATTGAAGCCAATCAAACCTCATTTTCCTATGGGCTTTGAACTCATTGCCAACAGAAAAAAGATACGGGGAGAGGGGGGAATGTCTCAAAGAGATTGAAAAAATTTCTCATCAATATCATAACACAAAAAAGTAGACACAGAAAAAGCTTCCTAGTTTCAAAACACTCCCCACATTCTTTAATGGTTAATGCATTACTTTAGCCATAACTAGACAAGCAGAAATTTTCTCCATATGCTGGAATATTTTTTCAGTTGCACATAAAATGAACGACTTAATACAAGATTTTTATGTAACAATGATGTTCAAAGCCCATTACAAGGTATCAATGAAACTGTTTCCATATTTTCTCAAATCGGCACTGAAAGTAGTTACAATACATCTGTGGGTTTGTTTATTTTCTGTAAATGTTCACATGCCAACAATAGGCAACAATCAACGATCACACAGAATTATGTAAATATGCTTATGTTTAGTTTTTGTGGTAAACCTTCAGCAATTCACAAAAAAAAAAGTTCAAAACAAAAACAGTCATCACATACACCGACTAATTACAGAGAACCTATTTCAGATTCGAATCTCAGACATTTCATTTTGTTTTTAATTCTCCACTAGAGATGCAATAATATACCACACTGAAGGGTACGTCTAGACAGCTATATATGACCTATAAGCACAACCATGTCTGTTATGTATTTTGTTTATCAATAGGTTGACACCCCACATGTTGGTTGAACAAAAATACATTGTTAGCAGATCTTGATAGTTATATGTCACACTCGTGCAATAGTGACATCTTGTTATGTAAGGTTTTTCATCAAACATAATTTTCACGTAGATAATTCATTCATTACTTCTACGCATACATATATATGTGTATTGTGATATTGTATACATAATGGGTAAGTGTTTCAGGGTGTGTGTACGTGTTTGTGTGACATATACTGCCAAGAACTGCAAATATTGTTAGTATTATTTATTTCCCACAAATTTGCTAGCACTGTACAAAGCTATATAGTTTTCTATATGTGTATGTATTTGGGCAATACCTTTGAGTTTAGTGGAATTGTGAGCACACTTTAAGAAAGTGCGATCTTCAATGTAAGATGAGAGCAATAATGGCATGATGGTAAAAATTTACTTTTCAGAAATACTTTTCAATTTTTATATGAATGAATGCACAAAAAAGAAATTAACTACAAAATCATTCTTTCCCTTGATTCAACTGTTCACTATTTATTAATTGCAATTTTCATAGTATATCAGTTATTACACTTGATGAAAAAGCACTCAATGCATAAATGATCTATCTATTTTTGTTGAATGGAATTCAGCACATAGCTCTAGATCGTAACTGTTACCAACATACCATCACTTCCTTTAATGCTCTATGATGTGACACAAGTTCCTGACTTCACCCGAAGTATCCCAAAGGGTTTCACACTTCGCTTTCTCAGAATTGTACAAATGTATTATTTGCTTACGAACTAAATTCAGCCATAGAGAAATAAGATTTTAGAGAATTGCAAAGAAATCAAAACAAAGCCTCAGAGGTGGTGTGAATCATTATCCCTTTTCAGGATCAGGATTATATTTTAGAATTAATTTAGAAGATGCCCAAAACTTAAAAGTGCAAACAATTCTGTTTCCAAAAGCTCAACCTTAATATTCAATTTTTTATTAATTTACACCAACTCTGCTGCTATTCCACAATATTAACATCATCTTATTCAGAACACAAATACTAAGAAATAGTAAATACAGGAGTAATGCTTTTGTTGACTGCTTTAAAATTATTTCACATCAATTTTTTTGTTTCCTGGCTTGCGTATGTATGTAACTCTGCATGCAGAAAATATATGCATGACTTTTGATATTAACCTTCTTGATTTTTTCAGATCACTTAAGGATTAAATTGTAGTAATAATAATTACAATTATTATTATTCTTATTATTATTTTTAGCCTATATTATGGAGTGTGCCAGCTGAGAATAGGGCCAGTGGCTTGCAAAACATTACTCCTTGATTTCAAAATATCTGTAGGTTGGGTTTTCATAGCCATTAATTTGCATGTTGGCTACATGTCGTTCTTCCGGTGTTGCAGCCTGGTCAACTTCCACAAATCCCTGCGAAAAAAAAATCAAGAACAGATACATGTTATAAAACGATTTTAATATTTTGAATCTATACTTAAGAGGAGAGGTAGTGCAATAAATTAGCTGAAATGAACTGAAACTTCAAATTACAAAATCATAAGTCTACCTTAAAAGTAATAATAATGTACATAAATCAACGATCTTATATCGTTTTTTGAGACATTCTTTTACATCTAATTGAATAGTGATTCCGGGCGCGTCAACTGCTAAGGTCATTACTCCCGTAAGTGTAGTGCACGTTTCCCCCTCGGGAGGTGGCTGTGATCTTCCCCTTCTGGATGGTGAGGTTCGGCGACTACCGGCCCGTCGGCTAGCGGGATTTTCCCCATCCAGGTATCTCCCACCAGCGAGGCATCGCCACAGCCAGAACAATCTCTAAGCTCCCTACATGTGTAGTGCATGTTGGTTAAGTAAGGGCTAAGTATAGGACAAGGACGGGGAAGGAAAGATTGCGCGCGGTCCGTGGCCCGTTTGTTAAAATGGGATTGCTCCGGTATTCGCTTGGCATCGATAGCAGAAACCACGGAAAACTACCGATCAGAGCAACCGGCCGCCAGAGTTCTCCTTCAGACGGCGGCTGCATTCGACCTAGCTATGTAAACTAGCCAAGTACCTAGCTAACGTTTGAGTCCCGACGGTGGCAGGGTTTCCGACACTGGCTAAATAGCTACGTCGAATTCGTTACTCCACTAACACACATGTTGGGAGGTCAGTCGGAGTTTGAGAGTTTGTCCCGGATGAGACGGTGCTGGTGGGAAATACCTGGTAGGGGAAAACCCGCATGATAGCCTGTACGTCAGCGTCGGATCTCACCATCCATCAGGGGAAGAACACGACCCCGTCATGATAAAAACGTGCACTACAAATATACGCACGCGTTTTCTTGAGCCCCGGTATACCTATCCTCACTTCCTTACCAGCATTAGTTGAATTATGAATAAATTATAGAAACGAGCGTTGTTGGCAAATTCTGATAACCAGAAATGTTCGCTCTCGTATAATAGAAACTATTTTCCATCGCAAACCGAGCTATAGATCTGATATAAAATGTCTGTCTCTAAAATAACTAAAGTCCGCACTCCTCTCGCATCTGGTCGCAAGGGCTCAAGATAACAAGCGGGTGTAATATAATAGTATGTGAAGCTCACTGAAACTCCAAGTAATCAATCTAAAGCCAATTGTTCTCGGTCAGATTTTATTTAAAACGAGTTTTATGAAACATAGATAAAATGTTTGATAAAGGTTTCATAAAATAAGTGTGTTGTACATTTTTTTTTTTTTTTTCTTTCTTGTATACGTACGTACGTATATATGCAGTAATATACGCAGTATAGAGAAAGTAATGTAATGCAGCGGAAAATCAATTTCGAGATTTCAACGGAAAAACTCGCTTTGAATCTCCCTGATGCCGAAAAATTGTTTTTCAAAACGTCCTTCCGTTCATTTGTTCGTCTGTCCGTCTGTGAACACCACTAGAGCCTAAACCATGCCTGGGATTTTTTCCACATTGAAAAAATACCTGTTGATCTAGCTTGAGTCAAAACTCTGCGATTTTGAAAAACATTAATTTTTGAGGGTTCTTTACATGAAGCCATTGGGATATTTTCAATTCTGAAACTTCAAACAGTTTGAATTTTTTCGGTGGTCGGCTATTCTGTTTACCTATGATCGTCTCTATACTCCATAAAGACGGCCAAGATTAACGTGTACCTCCCTACGATTCTCTCGCTGCGATTAGCTGAAGGTGTGATGACGTAATCATCCGTGCCGTAAAATCTAATACGTCTCCATTTGTGCCGTAAAATCCCCGATTATGAACGATTTCTTGCAACAGAAAAGGTCGTTTATAATGCTGGTACACGGAAAAGTGGTTTTCGTACTTGTGACGCTACCATGAAAAAAAGTATTTTACGCACGGTGACGACTCATTTTCCAGATGTATTAAGAAAAGACAAACTTCTCAAATGCGTAGCAGCACGTAGAAACTAATGTTTCGACATGATCGAATGGAAAAATAATTTAAAGTATTTTTATACGATCATATAGATTTATATTTCATAAATATGAAACATACACGTATATATATATATATATATATATATATATATAATGAATTATATTTGTGAAATATGATTCACGTATATTTCACAAATTCGAAATTAGGACGTGTTATATTTTATAAAAACTCCGAACTTTACAGTGTGAAAACTAAATTTTTAAAAATACACGTTTAACGAAAAGTTTTCTAAAACAATTTTACAGAAGAAGAAGAAGAGGAAGAAGAAGAAGGAGAAGAGGAAGAAGAAAAAGAAGAAGAGGAAGAAGAAAAAGAAGAAGAGGAAGAAGAAAAAGAAGAAGAGGAAGAAGAAAAGAAGAAAAAGAAGAAGAGGAAGAAGAAAAAGAAGAAGAGAAAGAAGAAGAAGAAGAAGAGGAAGAAGAAGAGGAAGAAGAAGAGGAAGAAGAAGAGGAAGAAGAAGAAGAAGAAGAAGAAGAAGAAGAAGAAGAAGAAGAAGAAAGAAAGAAAAAACAAATCATCGCGTACAGCAGGGTGTAAGTGGAAGCAAATGGCGGGCAAGGGGATGGCTCGTACAAACCTGATTCTGCGGAGAGCGAGCGCTGCGCCGTCTGAGAATGGCCACCCCGACGATTACGGCGGCCATGAGCGCGATGCCAGCGAATGCCAGGGTGAAGTAAATGCTCTTGCTCTCGCGGTGGTAGACTTCGCTACGCACCGAGAAGCTCTGCAACACGCGTATTCGCACGGTTAGGAACTTTTATTGAAATATTTACATAATTAAATAAAAATTAATAAATAATAAATAATAAATATTAAATAAATAAAATAAACAAAAATAAATATAAATAATAAGCAATAAATAATAAATAATATATAAATAATTAATAAATAATAAATAAAACTGATATTTTTTAGTAGAAACATCGATATTTTAACATCTATGTTTTCCTTCAGAAGTTGTTCTTCAGATCGATATATTTGTGCAGAAACATGGATGTTAAAAAAAGTTCTCATGATATAAATAAAATTTCCAGTTTGTAAGTTTTTGTAGATTGCTCGTAATCAAAGGCGTTTTTTCCCCGCAAAAATTGGCGGACAAGTTTGCCTAAACTCCCAGGCCATTCAAAAGGCTGGGAAGTGCAAGACATAGAGTTTTCGGGAACAGACCATATTCTGCGCAAAGTATTGTAAAGGCACCGACGACAGATAATATGTTTTGTCGCGAATTTGAGGAAAAATGATAATTGTATTGAAATTGTTATCATATGTTCTATAATAATAATTATAATAGCAACATATTCTAATAATGGTGAATTCAACGACATGGAACTAATACAATCTATACTAATAAAAGTGAATTCAACATCTGTCATCGATGCCACAAAAAGGAGTGAATGAATAGACACAGAAGTTTTACAGGTTCTTCTTGAGAATTGTCAAAGTGCCCTGGAGAAGTTTGGCAAAGATTAATGCAACATAAACCCGGGAAAAAATCATTTAAATTATATATTGGTAGATACACCAGGGCCATTATTTTTCGCCAGTACTAAGAGCAGATTGGTTCCAAATATTTTTCGCCAGAGGCCAGCAGCGGTGCGGCAGAACTTTTACTTAGTAGGTTGGTTCAAAATGTATTCCACCAGAGGCCAGAAGCAGTATAGCACAACTGGTACCTAATAGATACGCTAGGGACCAGTAGCAGTGAGAAAGATGCACATTTTTAATCTAATAACAAAGTACCGTAAAATACATTGAGAGAAAGTTATAGTATTTTATTAAAATTTGAATCAATGACAATAACAACATAAACTTAAATACCATGGTGTATACAAAATTAATATTTTTCCTCTGTCGGGGTATGGAGAAAGCCCGGCCAATGCGGGTTTTGTGTTAAAAATAAATATAATAATGAACGATAATAATGGTAATAATGATAATGTTAATGATAATTAAAATAACGTTGAAATAATAATAATAATAATAATAATAATAATAATAATAATAATAATAATAATAATAATAATACTGATAATACAAGGTACAGTCAGAAAGTAATGTGTCCTATTTTTCTACCTTAATAAAATAAGTTAAGTGAAAATTATTTTGAATTTGACTCTATACATGAAAGAAACCTAAAATCCACCGCATCTACGTCAACATGTGGCAGCACAGCGGTCGTCTGAAAAATGGCCAACATCGATGTTCGTAAGAGAACGCACTGTGTGATAGAATTCTTGAATGCAGAAGGTGAAATGACCATTCGATTTCCGGAGAGACTGAAACATATATAAGGTGACGAAACTGTGAATGACACTGTCAGACATTGGATACCTCTTTGGAACGAACCAGAAGGGCAAAAGCCGTTGGCTGACGAAAAGTGGAGAGACAGGTAGATGACTGCTGACACTAAGATGACCAATCGTCCTCCTTTAGGTAGGGCAATCCTCCTTTTGTAGGTTCTATCCTTCCTCAAAAAGTCCTCCTTTTCGATACTTTAACACTAATACGTTAATCTCTGTATTCAGAGACGCCACGACGAAATGTTACGCAACTTGGGACGGTATAATTCGAAAATATACAATTAATGTTGCTAGACTGGCGGAATTCTGTCTGTTCTCAGTCGTTTCAGCTTCAATCACACAACGCTGTCTCTTACGAACATCGATGTCGGTCATTTTTCAAACGACCGCTGTGTTGCAACATGTCGACGCAGAAAGTTACTACTACGGTGGATTGTAGAAGAAGGTTTGAGGAATAGTGTTAAATTCAAATTTTTCTCTTAACTAATTTTATTCAAGTAGAAAAAATGGGAGTCATTCTTTCTGTCACTTGTAATAATACCTAATAAAAAAAGTTAATTATGATCAGGGGCGAATCCAACGGATCATTTTTTTGGAAGGGGGGCTCCATAGATTTTTGTTAAATAATAAACATATTTTTTATTATATTATATTATTTTGGTAGTGTAAATAACGATACTACACAATATTTTTAGTTTAAATAACAACATAATTTTTAAATAAATAAATAAATAAATGCTTAAATCAATATCGCCAAATAAAAGAAGGCAACAAACAAAATTGTAAGCTTTTTTTTGGGAAGGGGGGGGGGAGGCGTGGCCCCCATACCCCCCTGGATCCGCCCCTGAATGCTAATAGTATGGTGCACTTGACGTAAACCGGCTGTTGGGGTTCCATCGAATCGGGCGCTCATATGTGGCTACAGAGATGTTGGAGCTCCCCGTTTGGATGGCACCGCGGACAGCCGACGTGCGCCGAGTGCAGTGGGGCAGCGCTGAAGCGGCGCGTGGCGCGTGGCGGCGTCTCACCGGCTCCCCGTGGCTGACGTCGTGCGCCTGCGCGTGGGCCACGCGGGCGGGCTCCTCGCGGTGCGGCTGCGCGCCCAGCCCTGCTGCGCCAGCACCTGCGCCGCCCTCCGACGCGCCGGCCTGCGCACACGCGCACGTCACGCCTCACGCTCTCTCTCTCTC